GGGTTCTAAATCTGGGGGGGTACCCGTTGGGGGTGTACTATTGTAATCCCTTAACGACACCTTGCAACTCGTCTATCGCATGTTCCCCTAAACCCTAAACCCTAAGCCCTAAACCACATCAAACCGCAGACCTAAACCATCGTATGGCAGTCTCGCTCGACCCTATACTTGCGGGCTCTTAGTAGGGAACAAAGGCATATACTACCTATATAGTGTATGCCCGTATTCCCTACTAACCCCCAGTAAGTATATGAGTTTCACAGCTGTTCACAACCAAGCCGGCCAACCCATCCAACGTCCTAAAATTCAGACGCTGCATCAAATTCCTACGAAGTGCGTAGCTCTCGAAATGTGAATCGCCCGTTCTACCCCCAGGTACTAGATTGGTTTCTATAATAAGGGTCTCTAGAAAAGGGCTGATGATTTTGAGAAACCCTGACCCCAAACGAAACCCTACATAGACCCGTATAACCCCAATACGTCCTAAGCACGAAGCAGTACGCCGCGCATGAGGAACCTAGTGGGAATCTCCCAAGTAGGACCTACCTTGATAAGCTATAAGCCCTAAACCTAAACCCCTTTTTAAACCTTGAACCCTAAACTTTAAACACTAAACCCTAAACTCTAATCCCTAAACCCTACTCCCTAAACCCTAATCCTCTCTCACCAGGCTACTGCAGCGGAAGGCCCCGAAGCCGAAGAAGGAGATGGACAGTGGGCGGTTCCTTCACTGGGGCGCAGCTGAGGCCCAGGAACTCGAAAGCGCGGATCACCTCGGGTGAAACAAAAGTATACATGGCAGGCCTCGCTGGGGGGGGTTGTTGGTTAAGACAAAACCCTAAACCCTAAATCCTAAACCCTAAATCCTAAACCCTAAGCCCTAAACCCCTAAACCCCTGAACCCCAAACCCAAAACCCTAAAGCCCTGAACCCTAAACCTTCTGAAGACCGTGGTTGCATGAGTCAGGGCGCTGAGGGCGCCAAGTCTTCTGAGGGCGCTGTGGGGTTGGGGCCTTGTTGGGGGGGGTGTTAAGTAAAGGGTTTAGGGTTTAAAGCTTAGGGAAGTAGTGGAATACTATATATGAGGGTTTCCCGAAATTAGGGTTACCATTTTGAGGGTCCCCATAAGGATTATCGTATATTGGGGTCCCCTCATTTTCGCAAAATACCATATGTATAAATATGGTTCTAAGGTTCAGGGTTAGTAGAGAGTGGGTGAATACATTACATAAGGAATATATAGTCCCTCATTCCCTACTAACCACTAGTAAGAAGTATGCATTTCAAGTTCAGGCTGCTTGCGCTTTTACTATTTGAGCTATTGTCTAAACTCTTAGTATCCCCCTTAATAACCCCTATAGTAGTTCCCTATAGTAGTTCCCTATATAATCCCCTATATACCCCCCTTTAAGGAGTTTAGACTATAGCTCATTCAGTGCTTCATGGCTCTTAAGTTGCTGGGCCCACCCCTCCCCCAGCACGGCTCGAAAACCTAGGAGGGAGGCCCTGCAACAAAAAGTCTTCTCCGGGTTCAGGGTTTAGGAAGGTTTAGGGTTTAGGGTTTAGGGTTGGTTTGTCTGAGTTGAGGGTTTGGGGTTCAGGGGTTTATCCGGGTCATACACATGTTCGATTGAACTGGGTGACATGAGAGTGTCAACAAGGTTCTGTTGGGATTTTCCAAGTGGTTGGTCTCGTTTTGGGGGGTCGTAGGTTCTTGGAAAATAGAAGTATTCGATTTTTTTCAGTATCCAGTACTCTCGGATAATATTGGCAAATGCCTGGGACGTACCGCTAGTATGGGGTCTATGCACAGCCTTGCGAATCCCTTCTCTGCATATTCCCTTAAGATTGCAAAGATCGTACAAATTGGGGGCCATGTTCAATATCGGGCACGGGAAGGATTCAGACTATTAGAGAAGCAATCAAACTACAATCCGGAACTGGGGGCCCACTGAGGCTTTATCACAATATGCTCGGTGGGGCTAGCAAGGACTCCCGAACATGCTGTTGTTAAAAGCTGTAGGGGAAGCTCTCAGAAACGCAGCTCCCTTGAGGCCCCCTTGAATCAGTGAACTTGAAAAGCTCCCTTCAAATGGTTGGAAAATGTAATGCTGGTTTAAGGTTTAGGGAGGTTTGTGTTCTTGCTTGTCTTTGAAGCCGCCTGCTACGCATCGCTGCAACCAATCTTGTCTCTAATTGCACTTGAGGAGAACAATCTACACAACAAGGAATAGGTGGGCTCCGATTTACTGACAAAAACCCTGGGCATGATAAGCTATGATATGTATGCAAATAATGATCCAGAATACTAAGAAATCACCATAAACCCTAAACCCTATATCTGAACTGGAGTTAGGCTTGGGAATAGGTACGTTGAACTTCCTGGAACAACACAGACCCCATCCTTGCAGAAATCCCTACCTTCAACCCGTATGACGCCAAATACCCTAAATTCTAAACTCCTAGGGTTCTTAGGGGTTAGGGTTTGGGGTTTGGGGTTTAGGGTCTAGGGTTTGGGGTTTAGGGCTTCGGATTTGGAGATTAGGGTTTAATTAGGGCCTAAACTCCTAGTATCCCCCTTAATAACCCCTATAGTACTCCCGTTATATGATTCCCTATATTAAGCCCGTTAACGAGTACCCGTTAACGAGTGTAGACTATAGTTCGAATAGCCTAAATTCTGCCACCTGAATCCTAAGCCTAGATCTCAGAAAGCCTTGAAGCGGAAGGATCCCTAAACCCTAAACCCTACAAATTACGAGTCGCTTTGCGCAGTAGATGCACTCGCGTCATTAATGTCAAGTGCAGCCAAAGTCAGTGAGTCCGGATTGTTCAGGAAGCCTTCTCTTCACCAAGAACAGCTTAAATTGGGTTTAGGGTTTAGGGTTGGGTTCAACTAGTACCCCCCTCTATACTACCCCCCCCCCGGGTTCCCATCTTCATTTAAGTTATTTAGGGATAATGAAGGTTAATTAAGGGGGAACCTAGGGGGGGCCGGAGTAGTATAGAGGGGGGGACTGGTTGAACCCATGATTCTCACCAACAACAGCTTAAATCAAAGTTGAACTAAGGGATTACAATAGTACCCCCACCAAAAGGTACCCCCCCTGAGATTTAGAACCCCATTAGGCCTTATTAAGCCCTATATAGTCCTTATTAGCTCCCTAAACCCTGGGGGGGTACCTTTGGGGGGGGGGGGGTACTATTGTAATCCCTTATGAACGCTAAGGTAAATTAATTCTACAAGGCATGAGGTCGCTATAAGTTTGACGGTGGGTTGAGAGATTGCAGGCCTTTAGGGTTTTGGGAGCAGGGATTCCCGTGATCATCTGCAAGTTTTATAGTCCCCCTTAAGTACTAAGGTTTCAGGGTTAATGTGTTGGGTCTATGGGGCCCATCTACGCTTCTCACCATGATGCCTGTCAACATTCTCAGTGTTTAGGGTTTGGGGTTTTCTTGTTTAGGGTTACCTGCAGTTTCCATGGCCGCGCAGTCGGACAAAGCTCCATCTTCAACCCCTAAACCCTAAGCCCTACACCCTAAACCCTAAGCTCTAATCCCTAAACCCTAAACCTTAATCCCTAAACCCTGAGCGCTCAACCCCAAACCCTGACTCCAATGCCATGGTTGTAGAAGCCTTAGCCAGCCGTCCTTTAGGGCGTGCCTATATCTATGTTTTCGTTCGTGGTTGAACCTAGTAAATTCTATAGCCGAAAGGAGAATATCGTGTTGTTGTCCATGGGTGACAATGGCCGTACCCTTAGTGAAGATGCTGCTCATATGAGGCTCCCCTACGCTCCCTCAGTTGAATTAGCCCTCCTTGATTTCCCGAACCCTAAACATCCCTCAACCCTAAACCTAAACCCTCCGTGTTCTTCAGGGACATTGAGTGAGGTGGGCCCTTGGAGGTTGCAGTATGGGGTTTAGGGTTTAAGATTTAGGGTTAGTTGAACACTAGATAGCTTCCAGCCGGCGAAAATGATTCCGGGACTCAGGCCCCATCAAGTTGTTCCGATATGTTCTGGTGAAGTAATCCCTACGAAGTTGCGAGCGGACCCACGGTTTTGACCAGCCCCGAAGCCCTTAATGCCCTGAAACCTAAACCCTCAACTCTGAACCCTGCAACCCCCAACCTTAAAACCTAAACCCAAAACCCCAAACCCTAAACCGAAAACCCGAAACCCTAAACCCCAAAACCCCCAAACCCTAAACTTGGCCCATATTACCCTAGGAAGAAAACAGGATCCTTTTTACATAAATATAAGGAATCCCATACCCCAAAACGTAGAAAGGATCCCTAACATTGATCCAGTAAACCCTAAACCCCCAACCCCTAAACCCAGCCTTGAACAAAATTCCGCAAATAGGGATTTTTGCGTGCGATCTCCTGCAGCTCATCCTGCACCTCAGATGCTTTTCTCGAAGCAATGGGTTGGGTTGAGGGTTTAAGATGTGGGGTTTAGGGTTTAGGGTTTAGGAGTTAATCTTTAGGCGGGGGCAATAGGGCCTCTGAAGCATTTGGAACCTTTCTGGAGCCACCGTATGGGGACTAGGTTTCTTGCAATTTGTTTAAAGCACACACACACACATCCTTTTTGAAACGGAAGTTGAGAATCTGTGCAGCTTTTCAGAATTGTAAGGGCATGGCGAGGGGTCTGGGGTGCACGTATTTAGGGTGTAGGGTTAAGGGTACTGCATAGAAGTCGGGCCACAAAAACGCAAATAAAATGAACCTCAAAATCGAGTTCGGCTAGAAACTGTCAGAAACCCTTGTTTCCGTGACTTATCCTTACTCGCCGTATCAAGTGTTCCCCGAATGCATATTTAAGGCTATACAACATGGTGCAACAGTCAGAGCAACATATGTACCTAATGTTGGCCGGTCTAGGAACCTCCTCGACGTCCCGCTGGCCTTGCAAAAGCTGCAGCACGTTAGACTTGTAACGGTCCCGCGTTTGCTTGCGTGGTCGGATTGCAGGACGATGCCCATGATCGTGGTCCAGGTGACAGTATTTGCATGAAGATCCACGTCTGCAACCCCGTCGCGCATAGAAAAAGAACAGACAGGGATCGCATGTAGGAGATGCCTCCGCACTTGGCTCCCGCACGTGTTGCACGGGTCGCTCAGGTTCACACCGGTACTCCTTTTCATCGACAATTCCGCCACCTGGGAAACAACATGAAAGAACACAAACATGTTCAAGATTGGGTTGAAGGTATTCCAACAAGGCCAAATGATGTAAACACAAGCGTGGGGATACTGTCATCCCACATGCACAACGTTCGGTTTTAGACCAAACGAAGATTAAATCCCAGGGGTTTATAGCGAAGCGTACAACTGGCTTTCAAATCAGCCTGAAATGCTACCTGCTGAGTTGTCAAACTGGAATGCTGCAAGTGTCTTGCAGGCACCAAATTAGAAAGTCTGACATCCCTTCTAGAAATCACACTTTGACTTTAAAATCACCAAACGCTTTATCCCAAATCTCGTATACTGTATTTGGACGCTTTTGGCTTCCGAGCCTTCTGTGTCCTCAAAGTCACTGATGTCGCCCGCGATGGTGCTCTGCAACCTCTAGATTAGGATTTAAGGACAGTAGTCTCACTTGGGGTTGCGCTAGTGCCCCGAGGCAACGCAATATTACATTCAGTTCACAGTATGCCGCAGAGGGAGCACAATTCTGAAATGGCATTGCAAAGAGGAGACGGAACAAGTGCTCAGGTCGTAAAGCCTGACAATGCCAGTGTATTAGGTACAATGCTTGCTGAGCATCGAATTTCACTGTTGATTACTTAATCGCGTGTCCCTAATACGAAACACTCCATACTAGGGGAGGGAATTGCTCTATCTATGTAAAGAGCTCGTCTTCGGCAGCTACTGAGCCGGTGACAAGCAACTCGAAACCCCCAGGCGCAGGATTCGACCAAATGTTTCCTAACCTGCTGCCATCAAACAATCGTTGACAGGTATACCACCCCGTACGTACACAAACCAGTCGAAAGTAGAAGGCGCTTGTAACTCCCCAGTATTATGACTCCCGCTAAACTGGGGTCATATGATCACAATGTCTAGAGTTCCTAATTCAAGAACCACGGACCCACGTGAGCTACAGTCAATATTTCACCAGAAGGTTTATGGACATGGGTTCCCTAATAGGGACTAGATCAAGGATCCTACTAAACTACAAGAGGGACACCAACGTCGACTATTAAGGGTTCCTTTATAAGGCGAATATTGACAGTAGCTCACGCTCACGTGAGTTTCAAAACATCAGGGTACCCCGTATACGCCCAAACTATTGTGATTGTCATGTTCGGAACCTCCAAACTGGATTTAGGTTAGGGTGGGACCTTCATGTTTGGAAGCCCCTGTAAGCCCTCATGTAAACCCTAAACCCTAAACCCTTAACCCATGTAATTAGAAGGCGGAACTTCAGAAACCACGATGACGAAGACGTCACAGATGATCCAGAGGAAGCCCCGGGATCCTCCTCAAAGCTCTCCGGTTTAGGGGTTTAGGGGTTT